ATATATATTATTTATGTATTAGACGTTTTTTGATATAGATTGTACTGGCAGTATTAGAAAATCATTCATATAATATATTCATTCGCTTGTGACTACATATGACATATTATCTAGTACTTCCAGCTTCCAGTTAAAACAAAGTACAATCATTGTCTTGAAATCAGCATTATTGTTTTAGTGTCCTTAATTTTTACACCTTTTTTTCTCCCTTTTTTTTTTTTATTTCCATCAATGTGATTTCCATAATATTTAATCGTATATATTTTTTATTCCGAAGACAATGTAAAACAGATTGCAAAGATTTGATGTCAGATTTAACAATTGTATTTGACGTGGATAAAAAATTAAACAAGTTTTAGAGATGAACGATAAGTTAAATGAGACATATTAAATTAAATAAAATGTAAAACTTCAAATCTTTTAACAATCATATGATGTATATACGTATTTATGTACGAATTATTAGATATAATGCATTTGATGATCTAAAAGTCTCTCTCGAGCATAAAGAAGACGCCGATTGTTTATCAGTGTCATAGCACACACATACACACAAATAACGAGTGGATTTTTTCAATATATCTTTAGGTGTGTATCTCTAAAGCCTATAGAGTCTAGAGTCTAAAGTCTAAAGGCACATGACATGATTGCATAGAATGCGAAAAGTATTTAGGATAGGTTAGAATTTGATTAAACAACTCTTGTGCGCGGTCTCTCATTTTTTTTCTACAATACAAGTCGTATTAAAGTAGAGCATGTCGGATAGTTCTGACGACGAATTAAATTGTGGTGATGATCACGAGAAAACGCCGTGGATTTTATATAAAGACCGCAATGAGTGGAGTGATGTGACTCCTTTACCTCAAGATGATGGCCCTCATCCTGTTGTAGCAATTGCATATTCTGAAAAGTGTAAGCATATATAATTTTAAGAATTATATCATTATTATAAGCTAAATTGTATTTTATACAGCAAACAACAAACGATCTTCATATGTTTTTCATACTATTATTATATAAACTTATTAGTCTATCGTGAAATTTTGTACCAATAAATTATAGCTTTTTATTTTTATATATTTTCACCTTATTATTTTTTAATGTTGATTTTCAGTTAAGGATGCCTATGATTATTTTCGTGCCATTCTAAAGTCAGGTGAAAAGTCAGAGCGTGCATTAGCTTTAACAGAAGCCTGTATATGGCTTAACCCAGCTAATTATACTGTATGGCAATACAGAAGAGAAATACTTAAAACTCTGGCAAGGAATTTACAAGAGGAGTTAAAATATACTGATCGAATGATAAAATATAATTCTAAAAATTATCAAGTTTGGCATCATAGAAAAGTCATTGTTGAATGGCTGCAAGATCCTAGTGAGGAGTTAGCATTTATAGAAAGTGTTTTATGTAAGGACGCAAAGAATTATCATGCTTGGCAACATCGTCAGTGGTGCATACAAACTTTCAAGTTAGTATATCTTTATAGCTATGTATATAGTATATAGAATTATAATAAATATTCTTTATATATGATACTGACATATATATATGTAATTATGAATATAGTTTATATGATAATGAATTGGAGTATGTGGAGCAATTGTTAAATGATGATGTTCGCAATAATTCTGCTTGGAATCAGCGTTACTTTGTCATAAGTAATACGACTAAGTTTGAGCAAGAGGTGATAAATAGGGAAGTTGATTTTGCTCTGGAAAAAATACAACTATCAAAAGGAAATGAGAGTGCTTGGAATTACTTAAGAGGGTAATTGTACTTTTTATTTATATTAGAAGTTTATTTAAAGAAGAAAAATAATATTAATTTGAATATATATATTTTATGTTTACAAATTATATTTTTAGGATACTGTTGCATGATAGCAAAGGCTTAGGTTACAATGAAAAAGTAAGACATAAATGTGAAGAAATGTATAAAGAAGGATGTCGTACTAATCATTTGTTGGCCTGCATAATTGATATTTGTCAAGAAAAATGTTCATCTGATGAAACCCCATCTTCCTTATTTCACATTAATTTTGCATATGAAGTAAGTAAATTTTTGTGTATGTGTTTTTGTGTTGTGTATATATATAAAATTTCTTTTGATGCATTTGATGTGCTTAAATTCCAATCTTTTTGGTTCAGCCAGTCTTTTTTCTCATTTCTCTTACACTCATTGTCTTTCATATTTCTATCCTTGTCCTTGCTCTTCTTATTTTTTATTGATTTTAATGTTGCCATTTGAAGTTTTGTTTTGACAATCTCGATGCTTTCATCTATTGGATACAACTTACTTACTTTTGATTAATGTCATTGTTTATAAATTTTTCTCAATTTCTATTTATTTTATGGTATAATTATTATAATTATACATTAATGTAATCATAGTATAATTACAATGAAATATGTACTTATGTTTCAGCTATGTAAGGATTTGTCGAAAAAATATGATATAATAAGATGGCGATACTGGAATTATGTGGCTAGTCAGTTAGCGATAAAATTGAAAACAGAACCTTAAAATTAAAAATTAGAGCATTCCTACACTGTAAATTGTTCAAAGAATTTTAGACAATGTTTTTATATATCAATCTATATGGTTGAGACATCTTGGCCTCTTCTGTCTACACACATTATTGCATAATAATAAAATTTCTCAGAGCAATTTGTACAATTGGTTTATATAAAACAAAAGCATCTTTTATGATCTTGAAGTAGAATCAGGATTTGTTAGTTAACTTATCAATTATATTAAGTGAAATTTAATATCACTAAGCTATATAAGATGTATTATACCAATATTGTTAACTTAAATAAAATGACCTACATTACCTTTTATATTGATCATTTTATGTATTTTCTGTACAACTGCAAATCTGTAATTATATATTATTAATATCAGCTTGCAATTCCGGAATTTTTACATTATCTTAATAATAAGCTAACTAAAGTTGTTGACTACATAATACAGAGAAGAGCGGCGAAATTAGAAGAAATATGAAAGAAGATATATGGATAGGCAATTAGGTATTTTATTTATGATTTTTTAATTATTAATATGTACGTATACAAAAACACATATACACATATACGTTGCTTTGATTATGGTACTATATTCTATTCTATAAAGGCATATTTTTCAGGAATATTTTGATAAATCTGTTTACTTCTGCTATTAACATAATCAATCCATTAATCTTAAAATTTTTAAGAGTTATAATTAAACAATAATATTAATAATAAAAAGAAACAATATATATGTTGGTCATCTATTTATTTATAAAATAGTTACATACTTTTAAAATATAGTACAATAAATAATTGATTTAATTAATTAATGATAATTAATATGTATATATAATTGCGATAATAACTAGGTTTCGAGAAACAAAAAAAATGATGCAATATATAAAATTTTTAAATAATGATACATAAACTTTTGTGCTTAATATACATTGATTCTTTTCAAGTTTTTGTTCTCTTCGATAATACAAGAAACTCTGATATATTAAATGGCCATTTTTTCGGAGCACTGCCGAAACATTTGAAAAGAGAAATAATTTTCGTTGCAGAAAGTTGTGATGACAATAATTGCAAACGTTTCACGTTTGAGAGACCACATTAAACTGAATTTTATGCGCATTTTACATAACAAATGGAGACATGTGTAACATGATTGCAATTGAATGATATAATAATATAATACTGATTATATAGTTAAAGATAAGAAACGATCAATTAACAAAATGCAAGTCGTACGCAATTAATTATTTAAATATTTAGTTCGGGTTGAAAGGACAAAACGTTGTATCCAGCTATCCTAACATTTAACAATCAACATCCAAACGATTATTCCTTTATGCGCCTTGTCTCGAGTGGAAACATACCATCTTTGTTAACAGAACACATTAAATTATTGGCTAAACAGCTTTTTTTACTATGAGACATTGCACACGTCGTTGATTCACGACTTCGGTATTGCTACCAAAGAAGTTGTTTCCACCTGGGTATTGGCGTACCGTTAAAGCTATGAGATACGTAGTCTTACCACAAGTATATACACATACTTGATTTACATTGAAAATATATGAATATTTTTTATCTGTTATCTTTTTTAATCTGTTTAAAATCCTCCATATTTTATAACATTATATAATAAAATTTCTGTTCAACTTTGTTGTGTTCAACGTACGATACTTGAGAAATCACTTAATACATTTTTGCAATGCATTACCATGACACATATACCTTGCCGTATAATTATGCAACAGCTGACTTCGGATAATCTTCGAAGTCGAGAATACCTTCAGATAATTAATAGACATAACTCTGCAGCTATTTCAATAACTTATTGAGTAATTAATGAGCTTCCTAAAACAAGTCTCTACATTTAGAGTCATCATATTATGAAGTGCACACATATTACAAATTATATTAGTTACTTGCAAAACTCAATATAAAATTAACCGATCAATCTAATATATATTAAAGACATTTTTTTCATTACTTTGATGTAACAACTTTGAAAAAGCGTTCTGTTTGTTAATTTTAAATACAACGCACGAAAATCCAAAAGACATACATCTGATTATGATTCAAATATTAATTTAATTAAAAACTTAACTTTTTAAATATGAGAAAGAGAGATATAGTTTTATTAAATTTAATTATAAATAATTGAAAATTTCTTTTGTAATTTTATACGACTACGCAAATGTGTCTCTGTAACGCTCTGTTTAACAACATTTTATATATATTATTATAACTCTTTGCACGTACTTTTCTTTTATGTTTTGCATAACATAGGCTTTTCTTGAATAATTGGACCATCTGTTAGTTCTCTCTCTAGTACGTGTATATATAACTCGATCCCATAAAATTTTTTCTTATTTTCTATTTAATAATTCTTTTTTTCAAATATAACACACACAGACACACGCACACACTCTCTCTCTTTCTTTCTCTTTCTCTCTTGAATAACTCTCGTGAACAACAAACGTTACATTCCCATTTTGGTACTTCTACCATTTGCATTTTTGCATCACTTTCACAAATCAAGTCATGTTGTATTTTCTCTGACCAGCAGCTATAATATGTCTATGATAAATATATCACCGAAAGTACTCTCGGTTAACTATCTACAGAGAAGAGATAGGTTTTGATAGATAGATCTTTGATTCTATTCGAGTATAGTGTTTCTACATTAAAAGGGTCAAGATAGTAGTACTCGCGGCTTTGTGCAGCCCGGTAGCCGAATTAGCTACACGTGGATAGTATCCACGTAATGGAATCGATCGAGAAGATATGCTCTATTCTATCATTTTTTTCAATTATTTGCTTGTTGTAAATCGTATGACAAATTTTAAGATGCAACCAAAAGTTTAGCAACTACATACGTAACAACCGCATTAAGTTATGCAGAATTATTGAATTGTGAAAAGCGAGAGATAAAACTTAATGTCGCAAATGTTGATCTTGCACACATTGAATAAGCTAATTTATTTATCTCGTTTTCTTCGAATTTTTTTATATTATATGCAGTGTTAGGCATGCAACAAATATGCGAAAAAGTATCTCAATTTTTTTGCGATCAGAAACGTGCCAAGATGCCTGCGAGTTTCCATAAATTTATTTTGTATGTATATGTGGATATGTGTGAACGCAATTTTTTTATTATTTATAATAAATTTATATATTATATTCGCACACACGAGATAATATAGCGACACAAAAGAGCAGATAAATAATTTAAGAAATATTCACTGACTTCCATCTAAAGAGAGATTGTATTTAGAACGAATAACTATTTTATATTTTAATAACTATACAGAACATAAATGAATCTCATTTTTAATTTAAATTACTTGTCAATTATTTGGGATATGATTATTGGATTAGTTTCAGTACTATATCTCCGTTTCTGATCGCGTTATAAAGAAGTTTTATTGTCCAATGATACTATCGATATCTAAAGAAAGCAGTACGAGATTATAGCTTTACGAGATTATAGTTTAGCATAGTAATAGCAAAGTTAAATAGAAGCTAACACACTGAAGTTATTTCGCACTGCATATTACTCTCTTCTGTTCGTATAACACATTACAATCGAGAATTGATAATTACTGCACACACACATACATATATGTAAATATATTTTTACCAATTAAACTGTAAGACTCTAATATATTTTTATATTACAATAATAATTATCAAGTAACTCGTTTTCTTATCGTTGATGTAAAATAATTTGTATTGTGTAGCAAGATTTAAATTAAAATCAAACTTTTCCGCACTTCTTTCATAAATCATGATCGAACTTACGCGTTACTAAAATTTGACGATACTTCTTCTAGATAACTCGATGTTTGCGAAAGAAGATAACATGCAGTTCGGCGTTCTAGCGTACAATAGAGATTAAAACTATCTTAGAATGATAGTGACAAGAAATAGTGAGGCTATAGAGAAGTGTATACTGAATTACATATTTTTAGCAGAGAGAAAGTATCCAAGCGTGATACATGCGCAGATATGATTAAGATAAGGTGGATTAAACACACGGTGGCTTTAAGGCATAATATAAGAACTTACATCTCCGAAATAAGAAATACTATAACTTCATCTTTCCTTATTTAGTACTATCTTGCACATGCTCTCTTTTTACACCTTGTGAACTTAATAATATTCCAGTTTTACCGTCAGTCTAGTTTTGCGTTAAAAAATAATAAGATTATTCTAAAACTAATTGCGGCGCATAAAAAAGCTCACAACATATTAAATCTAGCTTATCTCCGATTAACCATCGTGGGGTAAGAGTACTTGCTTCTTTCCCTTCTCGTGTCTAAAACTAATATCCGATCAAGTTCGAAATTATCTATGACACAATTACCCCGTTTCTGTCTTTTATACACTTACTTACGTAACTTCAAAGACATGCGGTAGTGATCGAGTTGATATGAGACAACATTCGATGTTTATCTCAATTTACATGTAAGTCTTATGCTCTATGAATAGGCGCTGCTAAAAATCGAAGAAATCTTTACGCCTGTAATTCCATCGTGTATGCATTCTATCTTTTCGTTTCTTCACTGACTTTATTTTTTAGCATTTGCTTCTATATTACCTCTTAACGCTCGACGTATTGATGCGTGAATTGGAGTTGTGTCAGCTTTGTTGTTGAAAAAGTTAGTCGCCGTACCGCATTACTCTCTAGATCGGAGGAATATTCAAATATCGATTCGCGACTTGCTATCTCGAGTACTTTACAAGAAACGCACTTGTAACGAAAGGATATATACTTGTATATATATCTTAAATAAATAACTTACATTTTTCGTTTTCCGATCTAACATCAACAATTTTGATCAGATTCGTTAATCTCGAGACGCATCGGAGATTCTCGTTTCGTTCGCTCTTGTCCATTCCTCCTTATTTATAGTTAACCAGAAGTAGGCAGTGATAGAAAATGATTAAATATATTTCGCTCAAGTAAATCTTCTTCGCCCATCGCGGAAGCCTTGGTCCAGTCTCCACGAATCGTTGGATAATTATAATAAAACGTACACTTCGCGTATATTCGGCAACAAATCGCCCGAATGTCAAATTGATATAGAGAGAGGCACCCTGCTTTCAACCCACATATTTCTTTCGCCTTTCATTCTCGGTTAAACTCGCTTCTTTCTCTTTAGCAGCACGCAGTCTTTACGATCTAGAATCTTACAACAATAATACGCTTACCTGTCACAAAAATAAATATTTTGATATCGCTTACCATCTACATGCTTACGCACTAAAAACAACAAATCCCGCTTGACATGTCCAGCTGTATGACGGGATTCACGATAAACTTTGTATATCTCATTCGTGAGTTGACACTCACTCTCACATTTAACTTCGTTCTTTGTGTTACAGTTCTATATGCACGCGAAACTCACACGCTGTTATTAAAAATTAGGAGCAATTGTTTAAAAAATATGACTGAATATTTGCTTGTGTTTTTTTGACGCTACAATATGTAAATAAACCTTGGAAACGCAATTTCTACCAGTTTTAATCAATGTATCTATTATTTAAGATGTATTTTAAAAAGTATATATATAAGCAACACAATATTAATACCGAAAGCTTTAATTCAGATATGTGAATATTAAAAATACATATAATATAATACTATATAATTCTACATTTTATATTTTTATGGATGTATGCGTGTGTGTATGTTTGCCTTTATATTCGTGAAAAATGTCCATAAACGTCAATGATAGCAGTGTGAATTGAAAATTTTCATAATAAAAATGAACATAAGAAAAATAAAATAGAGTGTGAGTAACGACGTGCATAAATTTTTAAAATAAATTCTGATATTTTGCATTTACGATTTACGATAATGCAATGTTTACACAATGCAAAGAACTGCTTTTTTCATTTATTCGCTAATCCCACCTTATACTGACTAAAGCTTTATGAAATTGTTACACACCCCTTTGCCGACACTTGAGAGCTATTAGGGGAGAAGGCTCGTTACATACATTCTTTTTGTAAAAGATATCGTGTTATTTGTATACAATTCCATCATTTTCTAAACAATTTCAAGCAAAACATCATAGTTATTTTAATATTGTTACAACTTGCTTGTTACTTCGACTTCAATCTCTTCCGTTTATTTTCTTATATATTTGCAGATTCTGATATTTAATCGTACAAACATTCTACCTATCAAACAACACGCCGATCAAATATTCGCTTAGTTTTCACTTCTATCACAAAACAATTATATCTGTTGCTCTTTGTTATATTTAAATCGCAAAATTCAAGCTTTAATACTCCATTTATTTATACTTTTCTTTTCCTCTTTTTCCCAATAACATTTCTTTTCTCTTGCATATCTAGAGATTCTACTGAGTACATTTTTGTTGAACTAGTATGCGCAAAGTGACGCAATGTCGTCTCTCGAAACAATCGATTCTGAGAAATTGCATATCAGTCGTTTCAAGACGACGGGACACACCTTGAGGAATCTCTTTCCTCTGGTCCAGGGAGTTAAGGTACAACATTGAGCGATTTATTTCTTAATCGAGTGATCCCTTCAGGTCCATGGTATGTATCGCGGACGCTGTGACTGTCAGAAGGCAGTGTCCAGAGCTGCCATACTGGTCGAAATGTCCGGGTCTGCGCGACAAGCCTCTAAGAACTCGGATAGCGTCACTACGCCGTCCCTATTGCCATCCATTTTCTAGAACAAGTAAAGTCAATTTATATTTGAAAGCTTTTTCATTATATGACGTTTAATGTCTATTAAAAATTTAAATGATAATAATTATGTTTTGTTGACGAATATTGCTAAAAACTTATAAGTAATATATCGTTTAATTAGAGAAATTGAAAAGAATTCTATTAATCGCGGATTACTAATAGATTTAATTTATTTTAATTTTTAGTTTTATTTACATTAATAAAATGGTGTTATATGTAATTTGTCGGCCATATCTTTTTTTTAAAGATTACGTTATGCTCTAATACAATATCATAACACATTTTATTTTTTACATAAAATTGCTTAAATAAATAATCTATTAATAGTTTTTGGTATATAACAAATCATAATGTATTTATAAAAATAATATATTTAAACAAATCTGCACTCTGTTACGATACAACTATAAACCATCTTAATATTCAATGAATGTCGCAACTATAATGAAGCATTGTGTTAAAAAGTTGATATTATGTAAAACGTTATAACGGTATTATGTAAACTTTCTATAGAGGAGAGAGAAAGAGTACTAAAATCCGCTCCGTAATTCTCTTTGTTTTATGTCACAGTTGTGGATACGTGGAACCTCATATCTCGCAACTCTAACATGATTGACTGAACACTGAACTATGAATGATTAGAATTACCATAAAGCTTAAACTCAGAAAAAAGCGTCACGTTGAGCTAGAATGGAAGACCACTATACTAACCTAACAATCAGACGGTATATATTACGAAGAAAAAGAAAAAGCGCACGTAGACGTCTTCTCACACTTCCGCGCTTCTGTCGATGTACACGTATATATGCTTCACTTAAAGTAGAACTAGTCAACCACGAACGGACTGACTACTGGAAGTCTGTTTTTACTGCGCTGCGCTTCAACTTTCTCTCTTTCTCTCTCTTTTGTATATGTTATTTATTATAACATCGTTATTTTTGTTGTATATATAACTAATTTATTAGCTTAATATTATTTTATTTTATTCCATTAATCAATATAATCAGATTAAAAATTGAAAAATTTATTTAACATTTATTTAAAAAATTGTCATTTTTTGCCTTAATACAATAGATAATAGATCATAAATAATTATACAAGTAAATATATAATTTGTTTGCGATATATATAGTAAGTTTCATATTTTACATACTCATTCAATATATTCAGACAGAAATGCAGTTATACCGGATGTTAATTATCTGCGATTCATGGCAATCTATTAGACCGAGTTAATTTATAGAATAAACATGATCGAAAGTTGAAGCCGGCATTTCACGTTGTGTTGCGTGCATGTATGAACATTTAGATTGCACAGTGCTAAATCGGTCATCGGCAGGTGCAAATCGCAAAATTATTACTGCTCTCTTCATTGTGAAATACAAAGGTTAATGTACGCGGGGGAGGAGTCTGTTACCGTGTACATCGCGTTGGATGAGATTAATTGGTACCACGACTTATTATATGCTACGATGCATTATCGTAGGTTTGTAATTATGCTATAGTCAGATATAATTACCGCAAAGTGGTAGGATATTGGATGAATTTGGGAGAAAATCGATATTATAATAGACTATTACGTTTTTTTAATCTAAAAATGATGCTAATATTTTAATATAAAAAGCGTGTCAAAATATGTTTGATTTAAATCTTGTATTTTGAAGAAAATACTCGCGTTATATCATGATGCTATATATAGCTATTCCAAATATACCGGGTAATGTTTTACGAACAATTTTTTTGATAATTTTTGATGAATTAATTCTATTATATTTTTGCGTTATATTTTAGTCTTTCGCATTAAATATTTTTGTAATTAAGCTGGGGAATTTTTATAATATATTTCAATATTTTCTCTTATAATATATTTTATACATATTTTGCATTTTGCATGTATATGTATATTTTATTATTTTTTATGTTTTGTTCGCGTGTAACGTAACATGAGAACGATTCGATACTATCATTAAAAATTGGCAAGACAGATCATTTTCTGGGATGAAAAGTGCTAGCGAGCTAGTTGCGCAGTTTCTAGAAACAATGGGACGGATTTAATCGTGATCTGGAGCAAATGAAACTCGAATGAAGCTCGTTTTTAATTAGTTCTACGAATAACGCAGATATTCCGCGACCGATGCTCGTTACCTCTTTCAACGTGATTAATTAGCAATGATTTAATCTACATAGAGATGTCCATTCAACAAAGAGATGTCGCGAAAAATTGAGAATATGAATTGTGATTGTTATTTTATTGTACAATAAGCAAAACATAATATCTTTTGCAAAGAAAGAAAAAAAGAAAGAAAAATAGAATAAAAATACATTTACGTGTGAAAATATAATATAAAATAGATAGAAATTGATAAGATATATGAATAAATTGAGAAGTTTTGAAAGATTCTTATCATGATAATTTTTTTTACGTTTATCGTTAAGTTTTTTACGTTATTAGATATTAAAATTATATATAATGACAACAAATTACAATATTTTAAGTAAACAAAGGAGAGTATCAATGGTTGATTCAAATTTTTTAAACAATTGTGTATAATATTATGTTTGCTAAATTTTAAACAGTTATCTAAAAAGTATATTGATGGATCCTGTTTAAAACCACATAAAGCAGGAGCTGTTCTTCCATTGCTTTTCTACGAGCGTATTGATAATCTTCGTAAGCGTTCAATGTGCCATTGTGCTACAGTTAGAAGTTTATAAAGTGTCCACCGGTTCATTTTTCATTCGTGGCTTGTATTCATGGCTTAAAGTTATCTTTAAGCCATGAATACAAGCCACGAATGTATTGGAAAGATCTCATAAAGTTTTATAAACCAAAAACACATAGTCATATCATATGTTTTAGTTATTATGCAGGAAGTTTGTTAATTATTTGAAACTAGTATATTAAAATCTATTTTGCATAAAAAGATATCTTTGTAACAAAAACTCTTAAATTATATTGTATTTTAAACTGATTGAAACGGTGCTTTATTAGAGTGATAAATAAATGTATAGTAAACTAAATCGAGAAGCAACCCAGAAAGGAAAAGAAATTTCAAGCAAATAAAAATTGTGAGCACGTTAAAATAAGATCGATAGTATAACCATAAAAAATTTTTATTACTTAATAAAATAAATGACTGAAAAAGCTAACGATAAAGTTTAATAAAGTGGATTATCATAAATGATGGATTTGTGAACACGATATATCTGTAATATGAGCACTTCATCAATCATTAGTAAAAACTTGAAATCTATAACGTGAGATGTATGCCAAACATATGATTCATTCTATGGATATGGACCATATTTATTTCCTCATTTATTTTTGAAGCACGTATTGTGAATCTCTCTCTTATGATTTTATCTACAAATCGCACTCGATATAAGTTGAAAATATTTAGAGTGTAAACATTGCATATATAATGATGAAATAAAACATTTGTCATATTATACTTCTTCGTCGCGCAGATCCTTTTTTTCTTCGACGAAATACGTAATAGAACTTCGAAGTATTCGTAACATGAAACAAGAAGATGAAAAATCATTTGAAAAAGTTATTTTGTCTTGCGCTGATTTTTCCAAGTTTTTTCACGAGATTTCTAAATCAATTTATCTACGTATTCAAACCGTAATGTTCCCAAAAGGAAACCTTGTACAACTAAGATGCACATCGAGGTTGCATACGCGCGATGTCTCGTCTCCGTTTACAAAATGAAATATCGCTACAGGCTAACAATTTGCGAGAAATATATATATATATGAAATGTAAATGAATGTATCCTCAGCAAGAAATATTATTTGTTTCATATGTATTAATGGAGCTCGTATTTATACTTGCGCATTTTTAATCAATTATCGAATATGATTTAAAATATGTTTAATCATCAATATTCTCTGCACGTCTGCCGCACCAGGAGGTAGCACCCCATTGCTGTGGATCATTCGCGTGGCACAGATGGTATTGATATTACGACAATAAAGTTTAACCGCCAAGTAACATCTGCGCAATAGAAATTTGAATAGTTTCTAGTTCGCAGACGTTTCGATTTACAATGAATCACAGAGTTGATTGCAAACTGACTAGCGAATTATATCAGATAGATCAAAAGACTTGGCTATAGAATATCGACAGGTATTCGGGAATAACATTTAATTGGATGGCAAGCGGCGACGTTCAGTAATCTTACTATTATCGAATTGTTTTCTGTATTTCGATAACGATACATTGATTCAACAGAGTTTTAATGAGACAATGCAATATATCTCTCAATTTTCTAATGACACAATTAAATGAAGTATGCTAAATCTTTTCTTATACAACTTTGAAGTTTATTTAAATGAAATGCGCAGATATATAATTAATTACTAAGATTAAGTACGAAGCCTTTTCTTTTATATTCAACTTGCTAATGATGCCCTGCTCTATTTCAAACAAAAAAATTAATGATTTTGCCATGAGAGTAATTAAAATTTAAATATCGTGTTTATTATACATATAATACGTCACAGAGGCTGCAAGTTAGATTGAGAAGCTAGCGTAGTTCCTTGAGAAAAGCCCGTGAGGGGCCTTTGAGGAACTGAAACAACAAGCAATTAGAATTTAAACTATCCGTATATATACATGTGAACGTAAGGTGTGCGCACATATATTGTGGCTCCCCGAGTTAGAGTTCCGCGTGTGTTGTACTAATCCTATCTCTCTTATACTCTCGCGGCCACCGCACGTGCAACCACGAATTTGCACACTTGTATCGGTGTGTATGCCTCAAAAGCAGCAGCCCTAAACAAGGCGTTTACCCTTTCTGGTCGCGTCGTCTTTACCGTCAAATTTGCGTTTCCTTTCAACTTTAGCGAGAGCGTAGGAAGCACATCAACGTATCCAACTGTGGCTACATAGAATCGAAGATGAGGATCTAGAAACGTGCCCGCCGTTAATAGATTACGAAGCAAGCTTCCGACCTAAAACTTTGTATCTTCCGATAGTATGATTGAATGTTGATAATGCAAAAGAGCATTTGTTAATTGTGTATTACGATAAGTAAAGTAAGATTAGCAATTTACTTATGTTATCTCTGAAGTTTTATTTTCACGTCTAACACACATTTTTGCATTTTTAAAAATTTGGATGTTATAGATTATGGAGAGAGTTGATGAGAGTTAATGAGAGATAATGAGAGTTATATGTTCTTTGATGATCTATTTAAGTACTAATCTATTTGTTTAAATTGGACAAAATAGCTATTTTGTATGTATATATAACATTCAATAGCTATTTCGTATCTGTTTTACGCGAATCGAATTTCAACACAATATTGTGTTCTAAAAATAGTAACTCTTTGAACTTCATTTGTCATAGAATTGACGAAGCGTGTAGCTTGTATCGGGCAGATAGAAGACATGTCATCTGCACAAATTGTCTCTGTAAAACGAGTTGCTCCTTTTTTCGCCTGTAGCAGTGGAGATAGGTGAAGAGAACGAGTGCACTGTGGGCATTGTCATCCGCAGCTAACAATGTGACAACTTCTAAAAAGAAAGGCTTGTTCCTGTCTTGCTGATACACTTTCTGCAGACGCTCGTTTTCTTTCGTTGAGGTGAACAAATTATCGACAGCCATCGCACGAGACACAAAACTCATTAATTTAAATGTTTCGTTTGCTCGAAGCCCCGAACGAATTCTTTTCATTCAATTACTTTTCATATAATTAGGTTCTTTAATTAATTAATTATAGATTAATTACAAATTAATTAGATCTTATTTTTAAACTGGATTAAGTCTAGGCAGAATAAGATTTTGATAACTACTCGCGTGATATATTACATACTGAGCAAAAAAATATTTAAATTTCTTTTTTTTTTTTATACAAAAGCGCGATTTGAAGATTTGTTTTTGTTTTCTTACCTGAAACATTCGATCCACTTTTTGGCGTACACCTTCGTGATCCAAATGTGGATCAGAGAATTTTCCCATCAGCTCATACACGGCAGTCACAATGTCCGTCATTTCCTCTCTCGTAATGCAGCCATCTCCGTTGATATCATAAAGTGAAAATGTCCAACGAAGTTTTTCGTCTATCGAGCCACGGGACAGTATACTCAAGCCTGTAACAAAATCCTGGAACATAAAAATCACCATTGATCATAGCAGTGTTGCCTTGAAATATTTTCCGCATTGCGTAAAGTTGCTTATATTCTGTAAGATATATTCGAGCTGCGTTATATTGTATCTACTTTTTAAACGCAGCAAAAATACTTTGCTTATTTTTAGAGGCTTTTTATTTTATTTTGTTTTTTTCTCATTTTTATTTTTGGTTCGAAAAAGCTTGAAACTGCATTTAATCGTGTGTTAATCGAGCAAATAACGCTGATAGCGAACGGTACCTCAGGCAGTAAACTTTAGTGTTCGTTGGCTAAATTATGGTGTGGCGTTAAACTTAGAAACGTACAGATGTGAGCACATACCGCACAAGATTTGTGGCCGTGTGGGTTAATATATTTGTAACTTACTAAGTTATGTGAAATCTGGAGATAGGATTGTTCCATGCGTTTATCACGCGTTAAATGTTATTATTATCGTTATTACCTGATGAATTGTCTATATACTAGACGTTAGTAAAAGTATATTGAAAAATTATTCTTATGTTTTTCTCTTAAAACTAGAGCAGAAGTTTTAGGAATCAGATGAATAATTTACGCAAAAAAATCAACGATATATTTCTATAGAACACAGAAATACATTTCTGAAAAAATCTGAAAATATTATTGTTTAAAAAATCAAAGTTGCAGTAAAAATATATACTTATTTTTTTTGAACCATATGTAAAACGTAAAAGAAAATAAGAACGGAAATTTGATTATTGAACACATTTTCTTGCATTTATATTAACGTAGAGACAATGTATTTATGCAATTCTTGTTCATGTAAAAAAGGCCATCACAATAAAAAAACAATGCTATTTCCGAGAAATAGGTCGCTCGCACAAAAGCAATTTAGACACACAAGGGCATTAAATTTAATCGTGCATGGTGATTAAGCAAATAATGACGACAGCGTGTAACTCGTTGCCTCGTAGGAGATAAATTATGCTATCAGTCAGCAAAGTTGTGCGACGCAGAAATCCGGCCACGTATTAATATGTACGCATATAAGCGTGAAACCCTATGCGAGAAGTTTGTGTATTGTGCAAAATATAGACATATATTAGACATTTAAATAGACCTCCAAGTAATAAAATTGGGGATATGCTATGTATTCATTTCTTGAATAACGATTACTATGAAAATTTGTCTAGAATTTCAAATACGACGACTATAAAATAAAATAGAGCTGCAGTATGATTCCATTATGCTACATATATTCAAATTTGTCATAAAATGAGAAATGCATCTCCGCCTTGTCATGTTCATGCAGATTTAAGAATGGTTTTTATAACATGCAGTAAGACATAATAGCGAGTCTGACGTGTTTACGCTTTTGTCTGTGACGTCTCATGATTAATTTGCACGATTTTGTAATTATCTGCCTAAAGCGGATAAACAATAATAAAAGAGATGAATTGAGTAGAATATTTGCATCTCTTTATTTCACCACTTTAGATATTTTGTCTTAAATTAATTAATCTCGCGATAAGATTTTTACTATATATATTATATATATTGCAAAAGATATCTCGATTTTTTATATGATATTTTGCGAAAATCTGATAGTATACCTATCACCGGGCAATCATATGAAAGAATTAATTAACGCTGTTAGGTTAATGATTAAAACTTCTTTGAATTTAAAAGAACACACACACAACTATCGAGAAAATAAAAAAAGAACAAGCAATATATCTATGTTAAACATGATATAAATGATAAATAATTTATAAATTACATATCGCATATCATTGGTCCGTCCGTCGCTCAAATCTCCTTTTCTTAAGAAAACAACGAAGGATGAACAAGAGAGGAAAAAGAGGTTTGGAAAAGCATTGGGCAGAAGCAACGTGTGTACGGAGAGCAACGATAAGTAATTTATAAATTATTTATCATTTACATTATTTTAAAATTAGACATATTGCTCGTTTCTTTTATTTTTTTGATAGTAATTCATTTTAAATTAATTAAAAAATGTCAGCTAATCCGAGTATAAGTACGTGGAAAGAAAGAACAGCCCATTATTACGCGGTTGCTAGGCGCGCGACGAAGCATTGGGATAATAATTCAGCATTTGTGCATATAATATATATATCTACAATAAAATATGTAAATATTAGTAATAATATCTTGTAACCGCAAAATTTCTTTAATATTTTACATGTACGTGTGCGTATATTCTTCGTCTACACTTTAATTTCTTTCTCTTCAGTTCTCTACAATTCGCTTACTTAATAATCAATCAGATGCTCGGAAAAGATAGAATAATGTAAATCTCGAATTTTTCGGTACACATTTCAGATGTTTAATCACTCTTTTTACTATGGATGAATAATATGTATTGATCTTGATCGGTTAATGGTGTTTCTGAGTTTAAAAGCGCATCCGCTAAAGCTGTTGACCTAGTAAATTGTATTAAGCAATTAGGAAGAATAAAATAAAGTAAGCGAGATGAAAGAATAAAATGTTGGTAGACACTAAATGAAAGGTAATGCAGTTTGGAAAAAAAGTTGAGATAAAATGTAAAAATAGGATAAAAAATATATGAAGATATAGAAAGGTTAGAAATTATATATATACATAAAGATAAAAAATCAAATATAAAATATATAAAAATTAAAAAATTAAAAAATACAATTTTTGAAGATTTTTATATAATATTGATACGTTCTGGCATATCGTAACATTATTAAATTAAGAAGAACATCAAACATAAAAAAGTATATCAAGCATAAAGAAGTATATTAAAGTAAAATATATTAAAAAATATATATTCTGAATAGTATATTTTTATAAATGTATATATAACTCAAAAATAAAAATAATGCCATTACAAAATAATATCTCTTTTTAATCATGCATTAAACATGACAAATCCTATTAATAATAGTATTATAATGTAATGATGTTATAGTAATGTACGAAATTGTTCAAAGATATAAATAAAATATTTTTTACAAGAATTTTTATCTTTAACACGTAATAATTTTAAAAAAATTTTGCTAATAAACACATCTTTATTTTTTCTTTTTTTTTTTTTTTGATAAAACAGCTTGAAATTGTGCTATGAAATATGAGGCATTGTTTTCGGATGTAGTGAAAGAATGACGCAGTTCAAGGGAAGTAGGAAATTGCCAAATGTTGTATAAATTCTCCTAGAGGGTCTAAATCCTTTAGTATAGATCATACTTGACGTCATTTAATCTTACTTACAAAATCCACAGTTTCACGTCGCTTTGTGTGTTTACACACAACACTTTGTGTATTTATCGTGTGACTTCTTTCATTTCTCAAGTAAAATTCTTATACATATTTAATCTTTATTTTCTCCTAAACTTATATAATTCCATTATTTACATTTTTTCAGAGAAACATATGTGTGTGTGTGTGTGCGCGCGCGCGTGCGCGTGTGTGTAAAATTTATAAAGTTTATTAATTACATCTATATTATCTTTTAATTTTTTTTAAATATATGATATCAGTTGTTATGAATATTATATATCAACTTTAGCGGGAGCGCGGAGATAATATGTTTAGAGCATGATATGCATTGCAATATTGATGTAGAAAATCGAAGTTCACAAATATATAGACGCATTTATATTTGGTTGACCAGTCTTAATAGTAAACAGTGAAACGTCCGAATAAATATCGATTGTTGATCCAGGTCATCGTGATTATGTCGAGAATGAGAGAACGGGAGCAGAACTCTACTCAATTATTCGGGGATTATACACAATGAACGAGCTCGACGTATTCAAAGATTGCAACGGCTGTTATTCAAATATATGTTTATTTAACTCTTAAAGTGTATAACTTTGTTTCTCAGAATTTGCATCTTCAGGATTTTCTCAAGATTGTGTTATACTGTTTGTTTTCATAGAATTTATAATGCCGTACAAAACAAATTTGATGAATTTTTACCAAATCTGCTAAAGATCTGCATATTTAATAAGATTAACCGCTAAGAAAGTATAATAGAAAATTATAACAAAATTATTTTAATTGCAAAATAATAATATTGTTTTGACTTGTACGCATCTATCTAAAAGGTTAATGAAATATTTGAAATGAAAAAATTTGTAGAAGTGTGAACATCAATAGTTTGCTATTTAAATATTTTAGTTAGCAATTTGTATGTGAAACTCATTATTACTTCTCCTATATATATATATATATATGCTACGTAATATTGTAAAATCATAATATTTAGTATTAATTAAATTATATGAATATACAATATACAATTATATGAATATACGTATATATATAGTTAATTTATGTATTGACATAAATATTTACAAACGCTTTTACGTAGATATATAGATATTATAGAAATTTGATATAATAATAATAATTGTGTATGTGTATCACGCAGTTTGTATAAGCACCATTAAAGTTTACGGTTTTTATTGAGACAAGATTCTCCTAGAAACAAGATAATGAATCACTACTACAATCACGTTCCTACATAGTTTTGAAATCATCAAATTTTATGCTAAGATTAAACTTCTGATTGGATGATGTTTAACTTTGGAAGCAACGAATATTTTGCTATTTATAAACATCGAACATTACCGTTGGCAATACGTTGAGAAATTAGGCCAATTAAAAGAATAAATATTGTAAAAACATTTGTTTAATAAGGAAAATTTATTATGATACGTTCGACATAACATATCATTTGCTTATATTTAAATAAATCGATTTGTGAAAGCATTTGTAGATTGCTTTTCATTTATCGTAAACTTCTCATTAGCGGATAATTAAATTGATCGATGAATAAGAACTATATCATGTCACATGCTTGTCATGTGATATGCTTTTGTTAAATAAAATATAGAGATTTTCTGTAACAGTTGTATTATTCTGTCTCATCAAAAATCAATATTTAATTAAGTTTTTAAATACCAAACTAAAGAAATAATCTGCAAATATATTTCACACACATTTACATTTTTCAATTCTCATATT